GAATGGTATTAAATGTGTTGTTTGGAGCAGGAATATTATTGTTGGAGCCACTTAAACTAGCACCTCTGGAGTCTCTCCTTCCCAATGGGACCTCCCAGTTTGGTCCACCAGCCTTTATAAACAAAAAATATTAAAATGTCAGCTTTATAATCTCTTAGAATTGAATCAATTGATCAACTTTCATTCATATATATATATATATGCATGCTAGCAATTTAACTTACTAAAACAGTTGAATCCCTAGCAGCTAATGCCAAGATATCTGCACAAGAGACTGTTTGAGGGCACTCCTTTTCTAATGCCTTCTTAATCTCATCAATAACTTCAAATCCACGAGCCGAATTCCTGTTGGGATTTGATCTTTTCTCACTAATTATGCTTCCACTGCTGTCAAGAAGCAGAGATGCATCACACCCCTACATGACACAATGAAAATAATAGTTAGTCCGTGGTCTGAAGGGGTTCAACTAAATTTCCTTCATCGATAAGATGGAAATAATCTTTTTTTGTATATATCATTGTATGCATGATTGTTGAATCTCTTTGACTTAAGGGAATGTTAGTGTAGTGGCAAAGGTGATAAAATTTTTGCTTTAGGTCAAAAGTACGAATCACATGTGTGACATTCTAGCATTTTTTTTTGAATCCCCTGATTAAAGTTTCGGACTCTATCATTGCTCTAATAAATATAAATACTGCATAAGATAAGGCGTGACATGCATATAATAACATGAGAGCTTTACCTTGACAAAGCAGTCGTGAAAATGCAACCTCAATAATGAAGCAGCCATTCGAGCTTCTTTGGCTACAGCCTTGGCAACAATAAACTTAACAATTTCTTTTGCTTGGGGACATGATTGGTCATAAAATTGTGGGAATAAGTAACCACCATAAGTCTTAGTAGAGAAACAAATTGGTGCAAAAGCAAGGAGAACAATAACCATGAAGAAGCTCAAGGATTGAGCCATACTTAAAGAGACTAATTTGAGAATGTAAGTAGGCTATATGGGCTTGCTTTGATATAATTGAAGGAAAGTTACGAGTACTATATATAGTGTTTAATGAATGGAGTGTTTTTTTTAACCTATATAGTGTAGCAGAGTCATGTGCTTTACAAGTACAATGATGATTGATTTGGTCTGTGATAGGGAAATGACATTTAGCTATAAAATTTTTCAAACTTTAACTCATTCTTAATGCAATACAGATGTTTGGTAACAACTTCTTACCTTACTAATAGCTTAATTAGCTATTTTAAACCTTTACAAAGTTGATCAAGGTTACAAATATAATAAAAGAATAAGAATGTGGACTTGGTGTGGAAATTTTTAATTATTCGTGGGTTAAAAAAGCCAAAAGTTCTTCTATAAATAAATGTGCATGAATTAGCCAAGTCGTCTCCCAACCAAAATCCAAACATATTGTAGCTATCATGCTATATCTAGGGAAATCTTCAATCAAAAGCTATATATAATTTATGGGAGAATGACATGCTTTGGTCAACCACACATCCATTGCTTTGGGGTGAAGGGATGTCTATATGACATACATGCATGAAATATAAAAGTATTCAAAATCTAAAAATTGAGGAAAGTGGGAGCAGAAACACCTGCTCTGTTGACCAAAAAGGACCTCAAGATTTCTTTATTATAACCAAAGATTACTTAATCTCTCAAACACTATACAAGCCTTCCATGTATTATATATACTATACATTAAAGAGTTAATCTATTAGTAATATTTGAAAATTTCAAACTAAATTAATTGCTTGTTGACTAGCAAAAAAGTATATGGATTAATTTAACTGTTTTGGACAGTGCTTATCCAATATACCTTAAGCTTGTAGTTTATAAGTTTAAGAAACAAATATTAGTTCATGTAAGTAGTTGCGTTGTCCTTAAATTAGTAACAGTAATAGTATTCAACTATCATGTATTACAGAAGCAAAGAAATATTATGACCTACAAATTGATAAGATTAGCGAATATTAGGTGAATCTGATTGGTCCAAAGTCCAATGAATGACAAAAAATATAAAGGAAAAAGAATAAGTTAGGAGAGCTGCTCCTCTGATTTGTCAAAGATGAACAAGATCATCCTTATATTTCGAAACTGTTCTTTACAGAGTCGTTTGGTGGAGAAACAAGTTATTTCATGATAAATTATTACAACAATAACAATTACACAGTAAAATCCTACAAAGTGGGGTCGAAGGAGGGTAATGTGTACGCAGATCTTGCACCTACCCCGATAGGGCAGAGAGGCTGTTTCCGATAGACCATCGGCTCAGAAAGACGGAAATAAATAACAAGCAAAGACAATTCATTAGTAACTCCAGTAGAAACCATAATAGTAACAGAAGCATAACAACCAAAAGATAAATGACGTGCAATAACAGTAACCAGTATCTAAGGCCCGGGGCTAAGATAAACAGCAAGGATAGTATGGACTTAACATAGACTGCAAGCCATCTAAGATCAACCCTAATCCAACCCCGCCTCACCCCGGGTATGAAGTAAGGAAAGCTCTACTACCCCCTAACCTACAATCCTAATGCTTGACCTCCAGACGTTCCTATCAAGGGCCATGTCCTCGGAAATCTGCAGTCGTACCATGTCCTGCCTGATCACCACTCCACAATACTTCTTAGGCTGCCCTCTACCTCTTCTCGTACCCACCACGGCCAACCGCTCACACCTCCTCACCGGAGCATCAAGGCTTCTCCTCCGCACGTGCCCGAACCATATAAGTTTTCCAACATTCTTCCCAAAAAGTCAAAAACCGACTCCGGGCTCGCTTGGTCAAAACTTGAGGTTCGGACCAAAACCCATTCACCCCCGATCCCAAATATGTAATTAGTTTCGGAATTCGACACCAAATCGAGGTCTAAATTCCCAAATTTGCAAAATCCCCAATTTTTCCAAAGTCCCTAATTCTACCATGAAAGAACAAGATTTAGGGATAGAAATCTAATGGGTGTTGATGGAAATTGAAGGAAATGAGTTAAAGAACACAAACCTATGATTTGGTGGTGAAATCCCTCTTCAAAAATCGCCCTAGGTCGAGTTCTGGCGAAGAAGATGTGAAATTTTGAACAAATCTCGTCTTTGGTTCTGTTTTAAAATCACTGGACAGGTCTTCAACCCGTTCGCGAGAGACTTGTCGCGATCGCGATGAACTGAGGCCAGGATGGCCTTCACGTTCGCGATGGTCTGTCCCCCCTGACCATTGAGTTCGCGGGCCTAGGACCGTGTTCGCGAAGAACAACTCNTGGTGTGTCAGTGCATCCATCACCAAGGCAAATAAGAATGGGCTAAGCGCAGAGCCTTGGTGTAATCCCATAACAACCGGGAAATGTTCCGAGTCGCCTCCCACAATCCTAACCTTAGTCTTAGCTCCATCATACATGTCCTTGATCGCTTATATGTAGGCTACCGGCACGCCCTTTGCCTCAAGACATCTCTAGAGCACCTCCCTAGGGACCTTGTCATACGCTTTCTCCAAGTCAATAAACACCATGTGCAGATCCTTCTTCTTATCCCTGTACTGTTCCACTAACCGTCTAATAAGGTAGATAGCTTCCGTAGTGGAGCGACCCGATATGAACCCAAACTGATTGTCGGATATAGACGTCGTCTTCCTCACTCTCACCTCCACCACCCTCTCCCAGACTTTCATGGTATGGCTTAGTAACTTGATACCCCTATAATTGTTACAGCACTGGATATCACATTTGTTCTTGTACAACGGTACCACTGTACTCGACCTCCACTCCTCCGGCATCCTCTTCGTCCTAAAAATTACATTGAACAACCCAGTCAGCCACTCCAATCCTGCTCTACCCACACACTTCCAAAACTCAACCGGAATTTCGTCTGGCCCGGTCGCTCTACCCCTACTCATCTTACGCAAAGCCCCCACGACCTCCTCCACCTTAATGCGCCTGCAATACCTAAAATCTCGGAGACTCCCCGAATGCCCCAAATCCCCTAGCGCTATATCCCGGTCCCCCTCCTCGTTTAGAAGACCATAGAAGTACGTCTGCCATCTCTGCTTAATCTGGGACTCTCCCATCAATACTCTACCATCCTCGTCTGCCATAAATTATTCCGGGATTAATTATTCCAGATTAGTTATTCCACCCTCCTATAGGGATAAAAAAAATACTACAATCTCCGGATTAGTTATACCACGATTTCATCCCAACCAAACGTTGGATAAACTCATCTCAAATTTAATTTCGGGATTGATTATCTCTTATCCCATGGTTGAAGACAACTTTCCCATGTGAAAGTGTCGAATGTGATACGTCTAACGTTTACTAGGAGTTCTCTAAAATTACAGTGTGTAAATTAAAGGAATGTGGTGCAGTTTGCTAATGTGTCTGTTTTGGGTACAAAATGTCACCAGTTCAAATGTGTCATTCCTACTTATTATTGCTCCAACAATATCCTTGTACGAGTTCACAATGACTCAAAATGTTTATTTTTGAGTTTATTTCTTGCATAGATTTTTATTATGACCATGTCCATATTAAACCTGTATGCTCAACAGTTCTTTTGTCAACTTTTTAAATTGTCATACTCCACTTCAGAGGAGAGCAGTAGGACCCACTCAAATTAGAGGAGCAGCTCTCCTAACCCTTTTTCTCCTGTATTTTTATCTCTCATTCTTGAAGATTCCTTGAGCCGGGGGTCTATCGGAAACAGACTCTCTATCTCTATGAGGTAGGGGTAAGGTCGGCGTACACATTACCCTCCCCAGACCCTATTTATGGGATCAAACTGGGTTTGTTGTTGTTGTTTCTTGAGACGGTTTACAAGAATGTCATACAAGAAGCCTGCAGATGGTTCAGGGTTCAGACTGGAATACAGTTTACTAGTACAAATTTAGGTAACCTTCAAAATTCGTTTACTAGTACAGACAGGATGTATATTGAAGTTGGCAGCTATACTTAATGCATTTATTTCCAGCTCTAGATATATAAAGAATAGATGAAAGTCCTTAGAAATATATATCTGTACTAAGTTCAATCCATAGTCACAGATGAGTAGTATATAGAGGTCTAATCTGTACACACTAACTAATCTATCTATGTAAGTAAACCAAGAAAATGTAAACACAATATTTGGACAGATTTTTCCAACCAAACTAAGCACTTTCATCCTCTCATTTGGAATACTTAACCAGCCCAAAACTAAGCACAGATTTTCCACCCTAGTTTTAACATGGTGGCAACCTCCATACTCCGGCGCTCTACTTAAAAAAAGTTTAAGCCGGAAACACGAAAGAACTCAAGACTTGTATCAAGATTCCATTATCAAGTAGTCCATCAGCTATCCAAACAGAGTACCTGAATATGCTCACAGTTTCGTAAAATCTTTTGAGCCTCGTTAAAGTATTGAGGGACCTTGGTTCGATGTTACAATTTGCAAGAATCAAGTGAAAGGCTTTGTAACAATATCAAAGCAGAATGGAGCCTAATGAACCATGAATCGCTCTTTGCTAAAAGCTGTTCAAACAACGGCAAACTGCAGATGATTAAAATGAACAGAAAATATATGACAGGGTCAGAAGATATCAATTGACAGAAGAATTGGCAGTGTTTCAAATCATCAAACAACTGATCTTCTAAAAAACTGGGAAACTAGTGTTTGCAAAGATTGACTTTGTTTTCCTTCATATCTGAACTGATAGTTATCCATAACACAACTAAAGCACCGAATTACCAAAATCCTCAAATTTGTCAATCACGTAATAGTTTTGAGAGCTTGTTTCAATATCAATGTTGTTTTGTTTGAGCTTTCCTCGAATCATCATTTGTTTTGTAGACTGTAGACATTATTGCTGATAATGCCATTAATCCCGTAACATAATATATACATAAAAAAGAAGAAGAAAGAAAGTCTACCCAAAAGCTAAGGCCTTGATATCCACATAGTTAAAAGGTTGTGAAAGCCATAGTAGTTGCCCTGTAAAGCTTCAGAGCATGGTGAAAGCTCCAAAAAATCTTTGGTTCAATTATCAGACACCACGCTATAAGGTTTATGATGACTTTGGCCGGGAAATATCACTTCCTGGCATTATCTGCTTCATATTTGGCCAGGAAGTATGGGTTCCTAGCTTTGTCTGCGTTGTATTTGGTTTTGTGAACCAGGTAGTATACAGAAATTGTTTCTGGGGCCCAACATGATTGCATATAAGCTTAAGCTTCTGTCTTTCCCTCATCCATCTTAATACTATCTTCATGTGCCTTTTGCTTGTCAACCCTCTCAACCCAACATCCTGGAGTTTTGCAGGGGAAAAACAGTTAGGAAAGACCAGCCTAGAGTTCTCTAAGTTAAGAACAGTAGGCTCATCAGAATCAGGAAAAATGGTAAGAATTTCACATAATTTTATACTCTGTGCTAAGAAGTACAGGGCGGGAAAACAAAGACTTAACCATCAATATTCCACCACAACTAGAAAGGCAATAGAGCAGCTGTTAATTGTTTGTAAAGCAACTAATTATCCTTGATATGGTAAATTAGACGCTAGGAATATTCCATAAACTTTGCAGTCATCTACCAAAAAGCCTAGTGTCAAGCCTTGAAAAAGAAGCATTCGCAGGATATTATCTGAACTATCATACAGAACGTAAATTGTCTATTTAATTTCATTCTAACCGGAGGAAATCTAGCATATACACAGTTGGTGTACGTGCACCAACAGTGTCTATATAGAAAAGTATAAAATCTTATTAGAGTGATGTATAAATATAAAGTGGAGCATCCACTGCTTCTCTCTATGATTATAATAATTGACGGAGAAATGTAACACACGTGTGTTATCTTTTAGGTTAAAGCAGTTACTATGGCGTTTGGGCGAGTTTATGGAGTTTTTGCAAAAACTGTACTTTCACAAACTCCCAAAAGCTCGCCCAAACGCCACCTGAACATCCAGACAGATCCATAAAAATTGAGGCAATCCTCATAACTTTTTTCTTCTGCCATTCGAGTTTGAAGGCCTACTCTAAGCCCTGAAGAAACGAAAAAAAGAAAAGGACAACTTTTCCTTTTAGTTCACTCAACTATGTCCCAAAGTTCATTTCTTTTTCACCACCACTTCATGAAACTAACATTATCCAACATTACCAATTAGGCAGTCAATCAATCAATTAACTACATCAAAATCCAAAGCTAACTGTGCTCAGCTATATAAATCAAATTGACTCTGCTCTATTCGTCCCATCTCATTCAAAGCTCAGAAATGATTCAAACTTCAGAAAATGAATCAAAATTGTAAAAGACAATCAAGTTTCCATACAATAGTTAATTCAAATTAGAGAATTTGCAAAAACTCATTTTATGAATTACCTTGACACGTTCCCAGGTGTCAGCAATGGTGAGAGGGCCATGTTCTTTCAAAATGTCGAAAATAACCCTGGTGATAGTTTGTGTTTGCTCAGGTGGGGTTTTAAGCTCAACGGGTTTCATTTTGGGCTTTGGTTTCCTCCCTATGTACCTTATCGCTGTCGCAAACATGGTTCCTTCAATCTCTGGCCTATTGGCTATGGCGTATTTTGCTGTTTCAGAGCGGAATTTGAGTGTTATAAGCCCTAAGCTGCTGCTGTGCAAAGCAAGAGGTACTTTACGAATTGAATTAGGTACTCGAATGTAATGACAATTGTACCCTCTTTTCTGTTATCAATTCCCCGATTTACCCCTAACAGTCCGGACGACAATTCTAAAAAGAGAAACTTCATATCCAGCTCTTTGTTTCCAACTAGATATGGAGATTGATTTTATGACTCAATAATAATTTTCATAAGCATGACAAAACTAACACATGAAATCCGTATAATTTTGGCATGCTTACCAAAATTGATGCCCCGATGGACCCATCTTGATTTATAGCATGTTTGACCAAGCTGCAAAAATCAGCTTATTATTAGAAGTACTTTTTTTTAAAAAGTGTTTTTCTCAAATATACTTTTGGTGATAAGCAATTTGTATTTAGCTGATTAATTTGAAAAACACTTCTGAACATATATTATGATTTTTTAAGCCTTGATTATTAATTTAAAAAAAAAAAAACCTTGATTAACGTTTATTCAATTCAGTGCGACTACTTAAGAGTTAAGAAGGAGTTTAATTTTCTGTATGGTTCCATGAGAAAGGAGGGTTTTGGGGCAGCTTCGTCTACCTTTACTGTTTTACTGCTTTATTAAAGGCTTTATTAAAGACTTCATAGGTAGAGGCACATTTATGGGCAGAAAACATAGATCGGTGGTAACTTCTATCTACACCTTTTTTGTACACAATACTAGCACTACTAGAAAATAGTGAAATTCCGTCCGCTATTTTCGACCGCAATCGGTCGGAAATTATCCGAATCCCGACCGATTTTAATGGTCGGGAAAACGATGGCCGCAAACGTGTACCGATCGAAATCGGTCGTTAGTTTGTGTACTAATATCAGCACTTCGCTCAACCAATTCATTCATAACTCATTGCCCTAAGCAACGGGCAAAGTGGAGTGGCACCCAACAACTTCGAGCTCGCTTCAGTCACATTTGCAGTGACTTCTTCATTAACAAGTCTACCGATAAAACAATGCAATCAATCAGATTAAGAGTCAAGACAATAATGTTGAACTATATGAGACTAACTTCCAACAGTACATATAAAAAACTCTCTCCTAGTAGGAGATTCGTTATTAAGTTTAATAAGGAATAAACATGGGTCAGTGCAAAATGTAATAAGAAATTGATAAACTTAATAGGACAAATAATTCAAAACGTTTAAAAAGAATAAGACATATACGTACTGTTGCTGCAATTTCGAGTGATGTATCAAAGCAAAAACACATATAACTAAAGCTAATAGGTCAATTTTTACTATGTTGTACTTAAGAAAATAAGAGAACTTTAGCATCTTTCGGGAAAACTCACAGTTAGAGATTATATCACTTGTTCATGTTTCTGCTTATGTCCCTAAACATGAGAAGTTCAAAAATTTACCAGAATCCTTTTGGTAGAAGATATAAAGCAAGAATAAACTTTGTGAAGCATTTTCATGAGTAAAAGAACAGGCTCAATTGTAGTAATTACCAAGTAATTATATGCTTATGACCCCAATGCTTGACAAGAGTTGAATTGGTTTTTTCTATCTTGTGTCTGCTATCACACTGCAGATAAGATAATGGACTCAACTAAAGCAGTGTGTCGGCCTTATTCACAAAAGAGCACTCGGTCCTGCAAGAATCATCATCTTCTTCTCTTAGGTTTTCTCCTCTTAATCACAAAACCTATCACTAATTCTCAAAAGAACCAAATGTTCTCTTTATCGATCTCAAAAACTCTAAAATACAGCAAATTTTTTTTTACAAGTAATGATATTTTTATAACACTAAGTGCCCTAAATTTACAAAGTGTGCAAACTCCCAATCATATCTAGGTGAGAGAGCTTCCTTAATTCTAATCTATTTCTTGGCTATTTGACTTCAAAATTGTAACATAATAGCTACTATCAGATAAGTAGCAAGCATCATTGATCTTTTTCCGGAATTAGCACCACATGTGATACCATTCTCCAAAAAACAGTCAACCTAACGAACAGATTACAATTCTTAGTCCAAACTCTAAACAACAATTTTGTCAGAAAAGTGAAGATATTACAACTACATTATTGGTGATCACGCCCAACTATGACTTATAAAAAGGACAATGCGGTCGTTGCAAATATAATCCGGTTTACAAGTACGGAGTCGAATCCCACAGAGAACTAAGGTTTAGCTACAGCTGTTCACTATCGCCAAGAAGACAAGCTTGAACAATTCCTAACTTATAGATATTAAGATTCTTCTGTTTAACTAATTAACTAACAAATTAAAATAGTAAATTAACAACTAACGACACTGAGGGTTAGAGGAAAGATTAAGGAGGTCTAGAGTTATGATTTCCCCAATTGTCGGAATCCTTCCCGCTATGTCTTCTATAATTTCGCCTAAGTATTCTCTACCGATCATGAGCACTCTTATTACCGTAAATCTCTCCCGAGTAATTACGACAATTTACTAGACGCACTCTCCCGAGCTACGCTAGCTGGCTTTTAATACAGCTCACTTCAAATCGCACCCAAGGCTTCGTTATCCCTAATCCCGCCTTTAAACCCTCGGTTATTGATCCCTCTATACTCTGGGAGTGGTGTTGTTCAACAATTACCTAAATATGCACTCTCTCCCGAGTTATGCATACTAAATAGGCACAGCTAATTGAGAGCTCTTCAACCAACCACAATATAAACGTAGTTGAACAAATAGAGAAAAGCTATCGCTCAATTATATAAAAACATAACAAGAATTTGTCCTACAAAAGGTTCTATCAAAACTCTAGATAACAAATTAGCTATTCATAATAGTATGTAAAACTACAATACTAAAAGTCATAACCAACAATGAAAAATAGGAAGAGGAAGGAAAAACTCGTAGAAGAATTCTCCGCCTTGCTCCCAATGTGTTCTTGCCTCCTTAGGTCGAATCTATGTCCAAAATATGTCCCCTCCTCTTTCTTGGCCGGCTTCCTTTAGGGTTTAGGGCTTAAAATCCCATGTTAAGTGACTAAGTGTCTCATATCACTCCAACATTACTCCAAACCCGACCCAACCAACACGATACGATGAAATGTAGCTGAACAACACCTAAAGAAACAGAAATGGGAAAAACGGGGCTGTAACTCATGAAACGATCGGCCGGGTCGTTACATAGTAAAGTGTATATATATATATATATATATATAAAGGCTATATTCGATTAAATCTTACGATAACACATGTATATATAGTATAGTATCGTATATATACTAAGTGTATAGTATATAAGCTATATTCGATAAAATCCATTGATTATTCGACTTGTGCAAAACGGCTTAATCGGGTATTTGGAATAAGGGTGTTTGGCTAAGCTTATAAGCTGGTCAAACTGGTTTATAAGTACTTTTTGGCTTATCTACGCGTTTGGTAAAATTAAAAGTGCTTATAAGCCAAAAGCCATAAGTTGGTCTCCCCCAACTTATCAAATTTCAGCTTATAAGCACTTTAAGTTTGACCAAAATATTTACTATTCTATCCCTAAAATACTTCTTTTTAAAACAAAACTCTTCGTATACCAAATTCTTCAGCTGCATATTATTAATTTCAGCACTTTTATCCAAACACATAACTGCTTACTTTTTAAATCAGTTTCAGTACTTAAAGTGTTTTTCAGCACCTAATGCTTATCAGCTAAGCAAAACGGGCTCTATGTCAAACAACAAGTTTACATTAGCTACACAATAGTAGTACTAATTGTTTATATTCACTTATGGAACATAAATATGGACGGAATGTTGCACGACTTTAGTTGGTAAATTTCATAAATGATCATGTAAATATGATTTTTTTTCACTTAAGTCATGACTATATTTTCTCACATAAAAATCATAACTTCCACTAACTCATATAAAAATTATAGTGACCGAAAAATATAACTTTCTGTAGTATTTCTTATTCCATACTCCTATTATTTTTATTTTCAGTCTAATAAATAATAACCAAATTAAAATAGGAATAACTCAACCAAATACTCATATAATTAAAGAAAATAGTAAAATTGAATCATTCCCTCACAATATAGTCTACTTTTATTTTTTATTTTTATTCTTAAGATTTTCATTATATCCAAGAGCTCTCAGATTATTCATACCTTTTATTTCTTTTTCTTTTTTAAATCAGAATCACATACGAAATACTCCAAAGAAAGAAAAAATTACTTGGAAAAGCCATACATACATACACACACCTACCACATATTGTCTATCTGACATAAATAAAGTATAGTTTGGTCCCTATACTATGAGAAAATATTTAAATATATCATTTGTTATACTCAGTGGCGGAGGCAGGATCTCCAGGAAGGGGGTTCAAATTTTTTTTTTTGTAGCTAGTTGGAATTGAACCTATGACCTTATGAAGGTTTTGAACCCCCTTGACCACTAAATTACACTTTTAGGTTGTGTTAAGGGGGTTCAAAACTTAATATATAGAGGTAAAAAACAGATTTTGCCTTATATATACAGTGTAATTTTTCGGCGAAGGGGGTCCCCCTTCCGCCCCCCTAAATCCGCCACTGGTTATACTTTGAGTCCAAATATACCCCTGCTGTAATACTATTGGTTCAAATATATCCTTCTTCTGTTAAATTTGTCCAAGGTGGACATCCAATCCTACGTGGCATTGATATTTGATGAGGTGGATGTCACATGGCATGCCACCTCAGTGCCCCTAATCCATATATAAAAGACTAAAATTTAAAATACAATATTTTTTATGGTGGCAATAGTGATGGAGAGGAAGAAAATTTTAGTGGTAAAAAAAATACAAGGGAGAGGTAAAATGAATTAGGGACGCTGAGGTGGCAAGCCATGTGGCATTCACCTCATCAAATGTCAGTGTGACGTAGGATTGGATATCCACTTTGGACAAACTTAACAGAAAATGGGTATATTTAAACCAATAGTATAACGGCAGAGATATATATATAGACTCAAAGTATAACAAGGGATACATTTAAATATTTTCTGATAGTACGGGGTATATTTGGCTCTTTTTCGTATTTCTTTCTTTGGAATTTTGCATGAGATTCTGATCAAAAAAAAAAAGAAATAAAATGTATGGATAATGAGAGAGCTCCCGAAACAATAATGCAATTAATTTGAATGAAAATCTTGAAACGGAAAACAAAAAAATACAAGTTTCGTCTATTTCGGGGAATAATTCACTTTTAGTATTGTTGTAATTTATGTATATACATATTGGTTTGGTTTGGTTTAGTTTGGGTCGGACCGAGTCAGATCATACCTATTTTAATTGGATTATTATATATTAAACTAAAAATTAAAAAAACGTAGAATAACAAAAAACTATCGGAAAGTTATTTTTTTCGGTCATTATGATTTTTGTGTGAGTTAGTAAAAAATTTATGATTTTTGTATAAAAAAGCATCGTTATATTACTTTGATGGAAAAAAAATCATAGTTATATGATCATTTATGAAATTTACACTCTAACTTTGGGAGGATAACAAATTACCCACTTTTCAGTTTCCTTAACCAAACAGAGTACCTACATACTTATCAAAGTTTTACTATATATTAAGTTGAATACTTGATTGACCAGTATCAGAAAGAGTTGAATATGGACTGGTTAATTAATCGATCTCAAAGTAATAAATTATAAACTAAACTATGTCAAATGGATCGGAAAGGGACAATAAGAATTCTGCATACCACTGTGGTTCTGGTGGATGACATATGACAGGATGATGGGATAATAATAATATACTCGTTCTAAGTGATATCATCTGCTCCAATAAATTTCTTAAGCATACACTCTCCCTTATAATAAGGAACTAAAAGATAAAACGAGTGCCACAACATTAAAAATTGCTCCTCCTTTTAGTTGCCAATTTCTTGTCACTATTATATAGCAGTAAGCTGGAAAGGGCAAAGCAGTAATATTAAAAAACCATTTTTTTGCCAATAATTCAAGCCTGTTATTTCAATTTATGCAAGCCCAACAACCTTCGAGACCTTTATTAGCTGAATTAAATAAACTTCACCGCCAAATTTCCAGCAACCAATTATTTAACAATTGTACATAACGATTACATTTTCTATTTGTCAAAGGCCTCTGTAGTGAAGGATTGCGTAAGAAACCAAGTAGGCAAATAAAAGCTTGTGAATTATTTAGCAAAACAAATGAATAAATTCAGAGTAATCTTGAACACCCAATTAAAAGGCTAATGAAGATAAATAGACCGACATCCCAAAAGAGTCATTAATTTACTCGACAAGAGAATTGCAGTGATTTAATTTACTCACATAATAATGGAACTTGTATTATCTTAATAGTAACAAAAGAAAAAAAAATAGTAGCCCGGTGCACTAAGCTCCCGCTATGCGCGGGGTCCGGGGAAGGGCCGGACTACAAGGGTTTATAGTACACAACCTTATCCTATATTTCTGCAAGAGGTTGTTTCCACGGCTTGAACCCGTGACCTCCTGGTCACATTGCAACAACTTTACTAATTACGCCAAAGCCCCTATTCTTAGTAACAAAAGAAACAACCAATTATCAACTCTCATTTTTCTTTTTTCTTGAAATAATTTATCATTCTACATGTTTTGATAACGACCAAATGATCTGTTCATCACTAGAAGCCATGATAAGCTGATTAACATGGAGCAAATTCAAGGAATCATCTCCACCTTTAATATCAACATTATTCATGTTTTCGCCATAATAGTTCCATAAATCCTTAGTTTCTTTAGTTGTCGTTGCAGCATTAGCTGAAGTCTTGTAGTCAATGATCTCCTTTAGAGACTGTAGCCTGTGGCTTAACTCAGCCATTTGAACTTTGAGAACAGAATTCTCTGCTTCCACATTCAAGTAAAGCTGATCCACCATGTTTATGTTAGTCACAATTTGGTTGTTTTCCTCCTTGAGTTGACTCATTTCAGCCATTAGGTCATCCAAATACTTCTGTTTCCTCATCCTTGATTTTCTAGCAGATTCCCTGTTGGATATCAACCTTTTGCGTTTCCTTTGATTTATTACTTGTTGGAGATGATCATCTTTGGAACCATAGTTCCTCAGCTGGATTACTGACCTTGAAGATGTTCCACTAGAAGAAGCCATAACTCCTTACCAATGGTCTTGCAATTACAATATCATAATACCAAAATTAGAGTTTACCTTGTATAAAAAGAAATATTACCCCATTATTTTATCTTTTTAAAAGACAACTATAAGTAATTGTTTTTGAAATTAGTTACCTGGAAAATAAGGTAGGCAACCCTGCTACAAAAGGTAAATAACAACTGAAATGTAGTCAAGGGGTTGGGATCTTGAATGAAGTTTAAAGAGTAAGAAGAAGGAAACTGAGGTTTTCTGTTTCATGAAAACACGTAGATCCAGTAGAGGAAGACGACTGAGAAGGATTGAACTAAGTGAGTACGACGATGAAGAGTTGAGTTAATGGTAAAACCAGACAGAAGAACTTCGCTGATTACTGGAGACATAATCCCAAACATCAAGAATCAAAACACCGCATCTATGCATCAACAGAGAGAATAAGGCTAATTAGAGATTTCATTCAAAACAACTTTTATAAGAAGAGAGTTTTGGCAGGAAAAATATAAAGATATGAAAGAAGTGGAGAAAAGGAAAATACGAAGGAGAGCAGAGTTTGGTGATAGTACTGGACATCCATTTATAGAGATATTAATGCTCAATATGAATGGAATTAAGCAAATATTTAATTCCAAAAAAAAAATTAAAGCAGATTACGTAGAGCTTTTGAAAGGACTGTATGACATGAAAGCTTCAAAGAGGGATAATGCGCTTACATACGCAGCACTTAATAGTTTTACGATTTGAAAATTTCTGTTATACGGTGAATAATTTACCAAGAAAAATTGGATACGAATGCAATCAAGAATTTCACGTGGAGTTACTAATTTTTTCAAAATATTTCTGATGTACATATTTTCCGGAGCATCTTCTGAAAAATGGAATGAATCCATACCTCTTCATTTTTTGGAAAGAATAAGAAGCAACAGATAGAAATGTTAAACCACTACAACTGACAATGGCACCACTCATTCAATCTTTGGTACATTTCATCTCAAGAAAAGCAAAGACTTTGTAGTAGATACTCCGAGGTATCCCAAGGATTAAAAAAAGAAAAAGAAAAAAGAAAACCAGCAACAGAAAAAAAATAACTCATCAGTCTGAATCAGAATCTGGATTGATTGACGATCTCACTGTCCTATTTCTTTCACCATATGAATCATCATCTTCTTCTTCCTTGTTCTCTTTGATGATTCCTGCACCAAAGATGGTTTAGTGACTGCATTAAGCTATGGATAGGAATCATCAACTAAAAAACATTACCTTTCTTTAACAGAAGACCCTCCAGAGTCCGTGTGCTGAAATCATCTTTTCCTCCCAAGTCTTGAAAACCAACCAGCCTATCTGAAGCTACTCCATTCCTGAAAAGCAAAATTCTTTTAGGTGTAGAACAAAAGGAAATGACAACTGTACCCCTTCCCTTTATCCACTGTTTTGATGAGGCCACAAGTTTGTAACTTTAAACTATGTTTGTGAAGATCACGATAGCTCCCTCATCTAATTTACAATAAAATAGGGCAGCTCCCTTGCCTAATCAAATCCAAGACCTGAAACAATTAAGACAGTTAAGCCCGCTACTCAAATGTTAACTGCTAGCCAGCCTGCCCTAAACAGTTAATTCCACATGACAGACCGATATTTTACTTCCCTCGGTGCATTCGGCCTGTTTTGACAGATCATTTGATCTACATTTTGAAACCAATAAGCTAGGAGAATCCAGGTGCATTCTTCTTGCTTGAAGGAAAGTGCTATTATTAAGTTCTTAATTTTGCCTTGAAAACAACCGTAGAACCACCCAAACATGGATAAATATATGAGAAAGAATAAAGCATTGCAAATCAGAGTACCCTAAAGGCTAAATAGGCCAGGAGGCACTAACCTGAAGAAGATGACACATGGTAGAGTTTTAATTCCCAGCTTTGTAACGAAAAAAGGAGCATTCTGCATTAAGTTATATGAGACAAAATGAGAAATAGCACGAAAATGAGATCCAATGAACAGTCGTCAAAAGGTTATAGAGCCAGTCTTTCTTTCCTTACTTCACTGAGAATTGAAATTTCTTTTCTCGGTTTTACTTGTGTTATCTTCCACGCATAGGTGGGCGCAGATACTTCACAAAATTTCAGGACTGTTCCTACTGTACATAATCTGAGGAAGAATACAAAAACTCAAGATATATAAACCTCAGCATCCAACTTTAGGAACTTTGTATCGACGTGTCTTGGTGCAAGAGACTTCAAATGCTTATCCATGATCCTGAAAGAGCAATGAATTCCATTATGTTTGTGTATGCCTGCATGTGGATATATACAAAGCTAGATTCCTACTCTTTTTCCCTTTCACAAGTATGTATAGCTAGATTATTCTAATCTGAGCATCGATGCATTGAAGTAGGAAGAGAAGCAAGAGAATTGTCACAATCTGGCTAATAAAATTTTGGATGACCAGTTAACCTTGTTAAAGCTGTCAAAGCTGTCACAAACGGAACCTTCAAGATACAAATTTAGGCAACACTTTTATAAATGTCAAGCTTGTTGCATCAGATTACAGACTAAAGTTCTTGCACTACTGACTTTAAAAAAAAAACACGAACTACAAATCTACAGTATGAGATATACCAGAATTGTTCTAACTTCGGAAATTACTCCCCACCATCCTCTCTATCTCAAACACAGATAGCAGCACAGAATAACAGAAACAGGTATCCAGATTGCAGAAAGAACCCTCCTCTTATGTCTTTTTCTTTTATGTGGGGAGGGCAGTAAATTGTGAAACATGAATTAAGTCCTTACTTGCAGCGATAGAACTCCCGATGGTAGAAGTGACAAATCACTTTCTCACTACCAGTAACTTCACCCAAAAAATCTCCTTCACTAATCTCTCTATATTCTCCATGCCCTTGCCTTTTTAAAGCTTGTCGCTTCTCTGCTTCTTTCTGTAGAAGAGAGTCCAGACAAAACAATTGTTTAACGATCAGGCACTCCAGATATAACTAACTGTGTTGACCTGCAGGCAAGACAAAACAACAGACCTTGAGAGCCGCAATCCTATCTGCGTGCAATTTTTCCAGCTCAGGGTCCTGTTAAAAGCACAATGAGCAAATAAACAAGACATACAAATTATATTATGTGCCTAGAAGGAGAAACAGTGATGGATACGCAAACTTACATCCATCAGTTCATCAAGATCTATGTCTTGATTAACAGAAGATGATGCTTGTGCCTTCTCTTGAGCCAGCACTTCCTAAAGGGTGAAGTTGGATTCAAATGATCAGTAGTTAATACCTGCTAACTAAAACTGCTGGATGTTGAGGTATATTACAATGATCTAACTAAAAATCTCAAATATTAAGTTCATCCAAAGGAACAGCAAGTAACATCAAAGGTCAAACTCCCTTGAAATGTTGAAAACCCCCGTAACTGACCGGTCTTTTCTTAAGCTACTGGAGTATATCTAAATTTTCATCCAACATTACTCATCATATCTACATGATTCACAAACCATCTTAGCTTCTTAACAAAATAGTGGTCTTAAATGGTTAGTAATTGGAGTATAGATATTGAAATAAACAGATAAACATAGTAAATAATTCTCAGTATTTCCCATAGAAGGACATCTTTATCCTGAGAGCGGAGGCAGCATTAATCTAGCCACACAATAGAGACACAGCCTGTAGCTCTTAGTTGCTTGGCTACTGATGTAAATACTGTTTTTGCGCTTTCGTCATTTTAATATAATTAATCCATTAGATAAGCTTGAGGGACCAGAAAAGTATACTTCGCATTAACATGCCACAATTACGAAGAGTTTCATACCAATCCTTACTAGTTGCAGGAAAAAGTATGTAAATTCTACTGATTTTGAAAAGACAGTAGATGAACCCTCTATAATTTTCTTTCTTGATAAATGTACCCTCTTTGATTAATTTGTTGAAAAGCAATTATCTAAGTCTCAAGGAGAAATGGTGCATGCAGATTGTGGCTTTGTGGTCATTAAAACTATTTAAAGCTCCATCACAAACATTTGGATAGAATTCTAGTATAGAATTTTAAGAATTCATTTTATCTATATACTGATATACATACAGTTACACCTGTCTTATATGAATACATAAAAATCCAAATTTTACAACAAGAAAAACTACGCCTCAATCCCAAACCAGTAGAGATTTGCTATATGAACCTTAATAACACTTCCGCTCAATTTGGACACAGATATCCAAACTTTACTTTATTTCTGCATATAAAAACGTAAACTTTACTCTAATCAAGTTCATTTAATTAACCAAATTAATAGAATAAGAGAGATTAAAATCAGATAAAGAAAAAAAAAAGAAGTATAAATACCTTCTGGTAATCACGAGCAGCAGCAGCCATTACATTTCCAAATGCTAAATTAGAGAGAGTTGATTTCACTGAATCCGGATCCATCTCCTCTCCTTTTTTTTCCACTTTTAGTAAGGTAATTTACTGTAACCTAAATCCAAAGAATACAATCGAAGAAGATAAAAATGCGAATTTAAACCAGAGAATCTGTGGATCGATATTTTCTGTAACTTGAAAAACCTGTGAAAACGCACAGATTTCAGATTTGTCTGCCAATTGGAAGTTGCTATAACCGAGTTTCGTTTAATACATCTTTTTGAAAAGAATTGATATTTGAAAAAAAGGAGAGAAATGACAAACGAGGTCAAGAAAAAGAATTAAAAAAGACAAAACGATGGCCCCTTAAATATATCTTTGGAGTTAGGTTCCAATGGCCCCTTAAATATATTGCTGACCAGTTTTGTCCATTAAATTTGTTAAAAATAAATATTTTTGGACTCCGTTAAATATTTAATAAATTGTAATTATACGGGTAAATTTTTTAATATAAACTCATATTTCTGTTAATTTTGTCTATTTTTGGAGTATGATGCAACTTTATAAGGTGCAATTTCAGTTATTTCTTTATCTATTTTAGAGTTTAATGCATTTATGGTATATTGGTATTACAGTTTTATGGTCTGCTAAAACGACCTTGTACCAACTTCTATGGCACCTAAATCACATTTCGCTAATTGAAAGGGGAAATCTTTTCATCTATCAGCTCCTCTTATAAATAGGTGTAATTTTATAGAGCGCCTAGGCACAATTTGTTCGCGTTGATCAATCAAGAGGGTTGTCGTCACTCCTTAAGGTTATCAATCTCATATTTATGTGAGATGTAATCATATAGTATATGCTTATTTCAAACAAAACCAAACTTCATAATAACTTATAATGAACTTCAATATATAAAAAAACAACGTAACTCAGATGAAACATAACATGTAATTTGTTCATATTTAAAATTATAGATAAATGCTAGTTTACAATGAAAAGGACAAGAAATTGGTAAAGCTCGTCTTTGTGAATATGAAAAGACAAAAAGAATGTTTTAGCAACTTGACTACGAAAGTGATCATACTTGTATTCAATATTGAAATGAAATGGATCCGAATAGAACACAATGAAAATAGATGATGCATGTAATTAATCTCATCCCAACTAGTTTAGAATTACATAATTGATTAATTGATGTGATGAAAATGATGCTTTGAACAATTGTAAACATTGAATTCATTAAAACGCTCAAATTTTCTCCTTGCAACTGCTTTAAACTATATCACTTCCACTGAATTCATCTTATTTTCAAAACTTTTAATCCGTTTTGTTTTAAAGAGTTCCAACTCATCACTTCCATCTTCTTTAGTTTCTTCATTCTTCATCCTCTTGCGTTTGAGAAATTTGACTAGTCTTTCTAAACAAATATTAGCATTGTCACACTTCATAAGTTCCTCAGCAACTTCTGCAGGGGTGACTTGTACACTCTCAATCAACTCTTGTACTTGTTTAAAATGCCAATTTTGATGATCATGCACCTTCAGATAATTTTTTGCCAAGACCGTGAATCCTTCAATAGTTAAATAATCCATGTGGATGTGCATGTCCATACGCCCCGGCCTTAACAGAGCTGGATCAATCTTGTCTTTATTGTTGGTGGTAAATATGATAACTCTCTCATCTCCACAGCTTGACCATAAGCCATCAATGAAGTTCAGTAGCCCAGCAAGTGTAAACTAGATGAAAAAATCAAAAGGAAAAAAAAGAGGAATTAGGGGAAAATCTCTAATTAGCTGACTTGGACAGAGACGAATCCAATATGGATTTAGAATGAGTGTCATCTTATTAAATATATATTTTTAAAAAAGATTTCGCATATGTATATATAACTTGAGGAGAAAACAATTGGTATAGTTGAACCCGCATAACTCATCAAAGATTCGTCTCTCCCTAGGCTATCCTCAGCGGCGCAGCCAAAATTTTAATAAGATCAATGAAAAAATGTCACACCAAAGATTTGAACGCATAACTAAAACAAATTTTAAACCTCCTTTGCTACTAAACTAGAAGTTACCTTTATAATAAAGGAATTCAACAATTTATGTATATACATAAAAAAAAATTGATTTTATACTATTTGCACAATATAATTTCGGACGAAAAGGATTTAGTTGAATTCTTCATTACATGTAGCTCTGCATCTTTGGCCTATATGAGTCAACCATAAGATGTTGGATAAGATTGAATTGTGACGTATGTCACGGATACGAGCCTTGTGTCATGTCTAGTATTTAAGTGAAAAAAGGGTAAAAGAGAGCTCTTATTATTCTTGAGTTTCAACGGATACGATTGGTAATAATGATTGGTCCTAGATGATTTTCTCGATCACCAAACAAAAAAAAATATTCCAAAAGTTTTTGCTCAAAACTTACACAAAAAGTGACCAAAGGTTCACGTGCCATTTTACTAGTTTGTTATTCATAATTGGAGAGAAATTAACTTTAACCATAAAGGGTGGGGGCAGATGCTTGAATTTAGGTGACAAAAGGAGAAACCTGTTGATCACGAGGTCGACGAGCATCAGCATGAATTGGTAAAGTTGCAGTGTTTCTTCTGTCTGGCAACTCCATGCTGCAATCAATATCTTCAATGACAAGTATGGATTTATTTGTGGTCCTCAACAACAATTTTTTCAAATCTGAGTCTCTCTTTACATTGGCCAACTCTAAATCAAAAATATCAAACTTTAAATAATTAGCCATTGCTGCAATCAAACTTGATTTTCCTGTCCCTGGAGGTCCATACAATAAGTACCCTCTTTTCCAAACTTTTCCTACTTTCTTGTAGAATTCTTTTCTTCTTAAAAACCTGTCAAGATCCTCAATTATAGCCTTCTTCAGCCCTGCATTATATACAAGTGACAAATTAATTTTAAGTTAAGTTTAAACGGTTGATCTATTTTATGGACTTACTCAATAGATTGAACTCGAAATGACTCATCAAACTATTAGGTCAAAACAGGTTAAAATAATGTAAAAACTCAAACACGTTTTGACTCAACATTGGACAGGTCATTTTTGACCCGTTCAAGTTTGATCCAACCCGCCTATTTTGTTACCTGCATCCATCGCGAGAGTATCGAAGGTGGAAGGGTGTTCAAAGTTGATGGAATCCCAAAATTGTGCTGATGAATAAGAAGAAGAACAACCTAAAGTATGTAACTTGACAACTTTCTTCTCAGCTTTAATGACATTGGCTTCTTTCAGTACAAATGGCACGTAACAATTCAACACTTTGTCCTTGTATTTCTTGTCAAAAGACAGCTCAAAATGTCGTTTCTCAGACACAAAAATATCATTCTCAAAATCCCCATGGCCTGGAAATGTTAAAGTCTTTTTGCACTCTTCTGAAACAAACCTCCAAATAACCTCTACTCCATCAAAAACATCAGTAGTTTTCCAACTCTTAGCAAAGTTAACACGTAATTTCTTCTCTTTGGACTGTTTGCTAAGTTTGAAAACGTCAATTTCAGGGCTAATCTTGTCGTACAAATAGATTTCTGCAGCTTCATAGATTTCATTGCTAGACATACCATCCCTTTCTTCAATGACTAGAGTAGTAGTGGATGAAAGAGGCTTAAAATAATGACGAATTCTTGAGAAAATGTAGTCTTGAACTTGATGAGGAAACACTTGATTTACCATTGTTTGAAATAGCATAATTGAAGCAGAAATTGAAGCGTAGGCTGAGAATATTGACAAAGGTGAAGGCAATCCTGAGTAGTTCATCATCTTTCTACGAGCTTCTTCTACGTGCCTAGGTTACTAAATTTCTACGATGAGAAACTTCCCTTTTTTCTACTATGAGTGGAAAACAATACCCCCTTCACCTTTTGAATGGCACCCACAAACCTTTGTACAATCCAATTTACCTCCTCAACTTAGAAATAGAGGCGGATTTAGAATTTTTAGCTAGTACGGTCAAACCTCTCTATAACATGCTCGTTTGTTCCGAATATTTTTTAATATTATAGTGAAGTGCTATTATATAGAAAATATATTATAACATAACATGAAAATTTGTTCGGGAAAAGCTTGGCTTTTTTAGTGACGTATTGTTATATAGGGATGTTGCTATAGAGAGGTCTGACTATATATGGGTGCACTATTAAAAAAAATAGAAAAGATGTATTAAGTGGGAAGTGACTCCTATTCCTCTTGGTAAATAACTCAACATTTCATCAAGTGCACCATTTAGCTTTCTTGGAGCATAGGTATCAACAATTAATATTATACCAAATTTAAAAAATATTTATATAAAATATCTAATTTTACAGAAAGACCATGAGTTCACGTGCCCCATAAGTTATGCCTATAAATCCGCCTCATACACTATCAATGCAATTTGAGTGATTATAATAAGTTGTATTATAAGTTCTCTTTTAGACTACGATATTAGACTTACTAAGAAAAATCACCTTTAATTTTGAACCAATTTAACATTATGATGTAAAGAATTAATGCGTTGTCATTGTCAGTTCATAAAACCTAAACTCATTTAAAAATAGTACGCGTGTAGAATTAAAATATCCCTGAGGGCCACTTTTTTTCTGGCACTTTGCACATTTATAAAGTACAACATCTTACTTAGATGCAGAAACTTAAATAACGCAATTTCAGGAACCAAAAAAGCCATACGATGTGCTGGTAAGTTCACCAACGTTGGATACATGAATCAAAGAGATTTATAGTGTCTGAGGGCGACACCTGTCCTATTACCTATGCGCAGTGCCTTTTCACTATTTTCTATAAAAAGGAAGTGGTCCAAAATCCAAATCGTTGTTTGAATATCCACCATACCACTAATAAAAGAAGAAATATGCTTTGGGTGAATCACGTCACGCACGACAATATATTCGTATTCCTCGCCATCCAATACTATAGTTATCTCATCAGACGACGATTTGATGAAACTCTTATTACTAATTTTGGTTATGGATTCACGTGAATATTAAAAAATTTCTTATTATCATATATATTAATTTAAGGTTACTATAGACGTTCCAAAATTTCAAATCCTGAACCAAACACTAAATTCAAGTTGAATACCACGTGTTTTGTATGTGCACTCCAAGGAATTTTAATGTTTAGATGATTTATCATAGTACCTTTATGACAAAAAAGGGGGAACTTTTTAAATTTCAACAAAAGTTCTTGTCCAAGAAAAATTGTTGAAAAAGGAACTTTGCCCCAATGATGTCAATCTACGAAGGCATCTATGGAAAGAACAGGGCTTGCACTTCACATTAAGATATCACTGCTTAATGCGGATTGGCGTGAGCCTTCAACA